TTGGAGTCCATTTGCAGGGATCACAACACTTCTCCGCTGAGAAAATTAGAATTTCTGACTCTGGTGAACGCAATATACCACATTCCTGGCCATCATTTCCATGATGAATACAAGCTCACCAAATGCAGCGCAGAAGCACTAAACAGCATGTCAGTATAAACACTCTCACAACAGACATGGAAGCAACTATTCAACACTACCTGCCACAAGGAAAATGAAACGCTGGTTTTACGGTTTGTTGGATTCCATGAGGCACTGATCCTATCACCTGCATGATCGTTCTTCAGTATCTTTAACGAGTGGGATTTAAATATCTAAGTAATGTTACTGGTGACTACCACCAACTCCAGCAACACCAAGAAGGACTTTTAGTCCACCTGCAGACAGATTTCCTTGCTTAAACTAACATAACTATACATATTAGATAAGCACTAATTTATTCCCTTGACACCCTTTAAAACTACTGTTTTCCAAATTCTGGGGATGGTAAGGGGAGGAATAAAGAGGGAAGGAAGAATTCAGAAAGAAAGAAAACCTCAGTCCTGTGTTACAGTTTATTTCACAGTAAGCCAGGGCTCCACATATAACATGGCTAAATGCTTCAGGAGACAATAAAAATTGTCAAGTGCAACACTTGCAAAGAATCAGAAAAGCCAGTCCTTAATGTAACGATTAAGCATTTACAACACAAAAAACCCCCAAGCCCCCAAAATACCCTCACTATAGCACCAGGGCTTACTGGTATCTGCAACAAGAGAAGGTAAACTGCCTTTCTTCAAAGTGATCTGTGTCGTGGAAAACAAAATATTCTACTGATTTCTCAAATACTCATTTATTACGATAGGCAGTATCATGGAAAAGTTTAGTAACGATTTTGACTGCAGTCATATTCCTGGCTGTGCAGGAATTTTTGCATGAAGTGTTCATCTGCCAAAACACAAAAAAAGAGCACCGTGTCTCTCTCCAGTTCACAACTTGGATGTGTAAGTACTTCTACTGCAATGGCAGTCACACCAGAATGTTTAATATTACACTACCTGTGAAGAAAGCTAAACCACAGCAAAACCCTGCTCAAAACACTGATAAAGAACACAGGAGAATCAAGTCAGAAAAGGAGTTAAAAGTTTAACAGCATCCTGTGTCCCAGCAAGAACTCAGTGAAGACTAAATAGAAGCAAAATTGGATCTTTTGTTATGGTGATTGACAAGACAGTATATCCATTGACATGTCAGAAAGCTTTCCTAAGAATAAGGTGTTCGATTTTGTTGGGGTTTTTTGTTTTGTTTTGGGGGTTTTTGTGTTTTTTTTTTTTTTTTTTAATTTCAAGCACATATTTGTGCATCGAAGGATACAGCTAAGCATCCAAAAAAATAATCACTTGGTCTGAATTTCTTTGTACTTCAAGACAATGGCACCTTTACCTTTACCTTGACACAATTACCTTTACAGAAGGGCTTAAATAGGCTTGACATGACATTTAGTGTGACCATAAATTAAGTATTGCTAGATTCTATGTTGCCTATTTTTTTTTCTTAGCACAAATTATTTTTCTGTAATCTTGTGTAAAAGGAGTTTCCTGTCTATATTTTAATATTATGTACACATTTGAGTGTGTAGTGAGCATGCCATTACAATACTTTCATGATGATCTCACTCTGTTCTTGCTATAATGCTAGGCGGGCACAGCACCTTGCCATTACAGGCAGAGCCAGATGCTGATCTTCCTTCTACTTACAGGAAGACCCCACATGGCAGTCTTCCAAGTTGTCCTTCCTCTGCCCTACTTAATCACACCCTGTGTGGATCCTCAAGACCCATCCTCCTTCCCTTCACCTCTGCGAGGACTATCAGCGCCCCTTATGCCTCGTTGCTGAGAACACCACCAACTCAAGTCATCAACAGTTTTTTCCAGTATTTTCTGTCTCTTTAATACAACAAATGATTATGCCAGATAATAAAAAATGTGTTTTGGTGGGGTTTTTTATGCTAGATTTGGATACTGATTTGTGATTCAGATTGAACTATCCCTCAAATCGGCAAAAATCTCTTATTTTTTACAGCAAGAGGGAACAGTACAGGGGTTTTACCAAACTCAGAGGCAACTCTTCACCAAACTCTAAAAGGCAACATATCTCTGTTACACGACAAATGAGTATAGGAGCTGCCTGTGTTTGATCTCTTCACAAACCCTGGTGTAGAAATGGCAGATGAAAATGCGTACTCCAATGCCATAGTACTCAGATTCACAGAGAATCACTGCCTTGAAGTTACAATTTACATAAGCCCCCAGGACTGCCTCAGACTAAGGCAAAACGTGAACATACTGTGAGGAATTATTTAACAGTTTTTCTAGTGTTTCTGTTTTATTTCTGTGAGGAAGCTGTCTTAAGACAAGAGAAATACGCATGGAAGAATCAGAGCCAAGTGAATTCTTAAGATGCTGCCCCTGGAAACACCACAGCCCAACAGACTGGCAACTAGAGCTCTCCTCTCCTACCTCCCCGCTGCCTTTCAGGGGGGAGACCAGCAACAGAAAATGAACAATGGTCAGGGAGACTGCTCTAAGCTCACATCAGTACTGCAAAGGCAGAAGTGAGACCAAACCCTGCTAATTTTTCTGTGACAATGGAGCCACTTAATGAGTGTTCTGCAATTAAAAATTAAAAACGAAACAGAAAGTCACACACCACCACCACCCCCCAACAGTCGAAGACTGTAACTTACTTAATATATACAATTACATTAAATAAGCACAATATGTTAATCACAAAACATCAGGACAAATAAATATTGATGAAAAAATACACTGACAATTCAATGTTGCTGAACCTCTTAATGTCCAAGCTAAGGAAAAGGAATATAGCACCAATCAGGTACCAATCACCTAAACCATTTAAGAAAACTTACCAATGAAGTAAAATTATTCAAACTGCTAAGCCTATACAGTTTCTCAATATGGAAAAACATCTTTTATCAAGGGAGCTGGTTGTAGAAATTTAATTACCAACCAAGTCATATCAATTGACCTTGGACTAGCACAGACTAGTAACATTGTAAGAGACTTATCCTACTACATAGATTTAAACAGAGAAGGTTGTTTCAACTTCACTTTTTTAATAGAAGTTACAATCTATTTCTAATGTGCCCACAGTCTTTGCGCTCCTCAGACTCATGACACAAACTCTTGCAATCCATACACCCATGCATCCAGCCCACACACTTGAGGAAACCTGCCTGTACAGAAAGATCACCAGAAAACAGCATAGTGGAAATTTCCTCTCCTTTGCTATTCAACTGGCAGAGTAGCTGCAAGCTCTTATTTCCATCTGAATGGAGGAGAACTCATGTCAGAGCTAGGGCCCTCTTTTGATAGACAGGAGACATTGGCACCGCAAAGAACGCACACCCCATGCACAGTCTGCTTAAGGCTCCTCCTCACTATTTCAACATTAGTATTCATTGAGATTGTGTCAAGGCCAAGGATGTATTGGCCTGTTCCTTTACACCACGCTGAGATTCTTGTTGGTTTTGTAAGCACAACTATTAAGTATCCCAACTACATCCAAGTTTTGGGAGGAGACACAGCATTTTCTGAAGTCAGTAAATATGTCCCATGAGGACTGAAGAAACATCCTAATATTAAGCGTTTATACAACAGTTTAATATGAGAAAACATACTCTGAAAATCCAAATATTTTTATTTGAAACAGCAAGATTATGATAACATGCTTTCCAGCTCAGAGGAACGCAATGGGAAGACTACCTGAAAACAGGAAAACAAACACTGCCTTCACAAGCTTTACTGGAGAGTGTTCATTTAAAAGCCTCATTTACGAAAAATAAAAGGCTCAGAAGTCCTACGCTAGAACAAATTTAGCACAGTGACGCACGATGACACACAAAGATCACTCTTTTTTAGACTATCAGGAATTAGGATTCATAAACTTTTGGGTTGGGGTTTTGATTTTTTTTTTTTCGCCTTCCCTCTCCGATCCGCAGCTCCCGTCCAACAGTACAAAGGCGATTCGCGCTCATTCATTCCCGGTTTCCTGCGCTGCTGAGAGCGGGGGGGGGGGCGGCGAGGAATGGATGGAGAGGAGCAGCAGCATCGAGCTGCAGGCCGGCTGCCGGCAACCGGGAGCGGTACGCGCGGGGCGGGAGCCGGCCCCACACCTCCATGGCGGAAGCCCGTCACGACCGCACCGAGCGGCCCCCGGAGTCCCCCCGTCCCCCCACCCCCCCCGTCCCTCCGCGGAGCAGGCGGAGGAGGAGCCTGCGGGCCCGCTTTGCTGCATTTGCGTACTGAAGCGGGAGGGTGAGTCAGCTCGGGACGCGCTCCCAGAAACTCCTCTTCCTCCCCCGGCCCCCACCTGCTCCGGGAGGCGCCCCCGCCCCCCCCAACCCCCTCTCCCCGCTGTCACGGCCGGAGCTATTTTTAGACCGGCGGGCGGCAGCAACCCCGGTAACGGTTACCGGGGCGCGCGCGCCGCGGCCTCGCGGGCCGCCTCACCTGGGCGCCGCGGACCCCGCGGGGGCCCCCCCGGCCGCCCCTCGCCTCCACGGGCGGTTCGCCCGCCGCCCCGAGGACAGCCCTTACCCCAGCTCTTCGCCGTGCGCCCCAGGAACTCGCCGCTATTGGGGTTGTAGACGAACTGCCGCCACTCGGCCATGCTCTGGCGGAAGGGCTTCTTCGCTTCCTTCGACATGGCGAAGCGAGAAGCGGCTGCGTCGCGCACCCCGGCGGCAGAACCTCCCCGGCAGAAAAAGCCGCAGCGAGCCCCTGCTCCCAACCGCTAAGTAACTGCCGCCGCGGCGCCCGGCGGGAGAGCGGGCGGGGGCCCCGTCACGCAGGGACCTGCCCTCCCCACCTCCGCGGCGGGGCGGGACCCGCCGCCACACCATTCCGCCCGCGCCAGCCAATCGCGGCCCGCCGCGCGCCCGCCCCCTAGCGGCCAGCGGCGGCCCGGCCCTTGCCTGGCGCACGCTGCGGCTCCGCGCGCCCGCCGGCCTCACTCCCCGCCGCGGCGGGGGGGGGGGTGAGGGCGGTGTGTGTTTTGATGGGGGGGATGGCGGCTCTGGCGCCTCAGCGGCGGCTGTGAGGTGCTGCGGGCTGGCTGCGGGCGGCCGCAGCGAGACCTCGCCGGCTGTGGGGAGACAGGCGCGGCGGTGCGGATAGCGACTGAAACGGCACCTGCGTGCACCACTCCCCCCCCCTCCCCACCACCCCATTTCGCGTTCCGCCGCCCGGGGTCTGGGCTGAGGCGCCTGGCGGGCGCGCGTGGGGGAGCCTCGCGGGGCGCCGCTGCCCGCCCCGCCGGGCAGCCCCCGGCTGCCGCCCCGAGCCCGCTCGGTCCCTGCAAGGGTTGGGTTGTCACAGCACTGAACGGGTACCTGGCGGTCTGGGAGTGCCTGCGGAGGGTGAGAAATGCTGCACCGCAGGAGCTGCAGCTGAAGCACGGTTAGAGTCGAAAAATACCAGAAGACGGAAGAAAGGTTAGCAAGTGTAATCCCCGTCTCGGAACTCCCTTCGGTTGTGCCACCATCCTGAAACGCCTGGTAAAAGAACACGTACGTGCAAAAATGCTGTAGAAGGGGTAATGATAATAGGACTTCTGTGAGCATAAGGCCTCAGAAACGCATTTGCTATCACACTCCTAAAGGTCAATGTAAAAATATCACCAAAAAAAAAAAAATTTTCCATCTCGGCTGACAGCAGAGCAACAGACCATTTACTCTCTGGTGTGGATCAAGAGCTTACCTCCTTACATTCCCACTTTCCCCAATACTAAACGGAGCAGTGCCAGCCACCGCACACCACCGGCCCCATCACTCAGTCTTGTGGGGCAGCTCTAATGTATTCTCCCTCATATATTGCTGAGCCAGTGTAAATAATGGACCGTTAATTAGGGACTTTGCAGAAATCAAGTGTAACAGGAGAGCTACTACATCAAAGCAGTTCTTAAAATAGTCAATAAGCCAGAGATCAAACTCGAGTGAAAAGCTAAGACAGACTACATCTTAAAAATGTAAGAGCGACAATATGAGATGTCTTAAATAAGAAGAATTAACTATTTATCAGCATGGTTAGTTTAAATCTTTATGATGGTTGCAGTATTATTCATGCCAGAAAGCAGTAAATGTGAGGCACAAAATAGAATAAACCTATTTGCCTCCTGAACGTCTGATGACAGTATTCTCTTCTGTTACAGGACAGCATCTAAATCATTCTATTTGCTGTAAAACAACAGCAGAAAATAACCTATCAATCACTAATTACTGTCACACTGATCAGCTAATATATTCCATTTCAAGCCAAAAAAAAAGCCATCTCCATTTTTTTCTTCTAAATGTCACCAAGCAGAAGACTGAATGTCATTCCATTCTAACAACTGCTTTGCTGAATTATTTTTCTCAGTTTATTCAGATAGGCATCCTGCATGCTTAAGAAATAATATGTCAGCAAAATGTGGATGGGGCACCATATTGATTCAATAACATTAACATTTACTAGATGCAAAGACTGGGGGAGTTAACACAGATTGGAAAATCAGATTGCCTCTAAGGAATGACCGTGCCCTACATTACGCAATGAAATTTCAACATTTAAGTATATTAATATTTTAAAAACATTAAAGAGAATGTAAACCAAAGTATTAGAGGAACTAGTATTATCCAGCAACCCCTGAAACTCTTCAGTCTGATCATCATAAGACATAGGAATCTTCTTGTGCTTTGCTCCAGTGAGTTCAGAGGCTCAGTTTAACTGTAATAACCATTAGACTCATTTTCAAAATCAGCTGTCTCATGAAGCCCAGCCTGACTTGGATGGAGTGGTATATCCTCATCCCCCCTGAAAATCAAACTGTTTCTGAGAAGCAAAAGGGTAAATGTTTTGACTCATGGACATACAAGTCCATTAGCTAGACTCTAATCTCAGGTAAAATAATAGAAACGTCCATCCGTATTCCAGTTAATAAAAAGTAATCAATGGCAACAGCATGATCTGCTATACAGTTAGCTGCAATCACAGTGCCGTGTTTGATAGCCTACATCCCAACCTACATTACCTTTTATGCAAGATGGCATCAGGGTGCAGTGCATGGGGACCGAGGGCCACAGGGGACAGTGTGCATAAAATCTCGTATTCTAGAAAGATCCCTGTGCACACATTAGTGAAGAAACACTACAAAAAAAACCCAGCACCCACTTCTGATCTTTACACTAGCAGGAAAATAGAAATATTAGTGATAGTTCAAAGGGTACTGAAGAATGATCAAGGGAGCAGAAAACAAGCTTCCACATTTCAGCTTATTCAGCTTCTGCAAGAAAAAACCTTACAAGGGACTGGACTACTTTGAATAGGTACTTAAATATAGAAAAGAGGTCCTGATAGTTTGACCTTTACAACCTCGCTGACAAAGGCAATGGTATTTATTTACTGGAAACTATAGTTAGACAAACCTAATGTTGAGATTTCCTGCCTATGAGGGCAATTAAATATTTAATTTATAATCAGGAGAAATAGTGGATACACCTTTGTTTAAGTTTTAAACGTTAGATTATACATATGTTTTAAACATAGGTTTTAATTCAGTTTTGGAAGAAATCCAGTTGTGTGTGGATAGGCTGTAAGACTTTGCTTACTGTCAAGTAACATTGCAATGAAATGTTCTAGGTGAGAAGCAGTATCCTCTACTTGCAGACACTGTCCAGAAAGCAAGACCAATTGTCTCTGCTGTCCACAGGGATTTTGCCCATGTTTGGTCAGATGGTTACTGAAATATATGGTTGGTTTCCACAGGGAGAAATGAATGAGTGACACTGGAGGTTCTGAATATGGATGTCTGATGATTGTCAGGCTTGGGCTCATCACCTCACAGACCATTCAGCACTAGGAATGGTCCTCAGTTTACAATTTCTCCTTTATTTGGAAAGGCACTTTTATCTGCATGGCTGATCTTTGTAATGGTGTAATTAGCAATGTGTGTTTTCCAAATTACAACAGGAAGAAAACTACCTTGACTCACTATCAAGGAAATAATGGATGATGATGATGAAAGAGTAAACCATACAACACAAAAAGTTCCAAACTTTAAAAATATTAATGGCATAAAGGTACCTGTTAAGTTCTTTTTAAAAATTGTCACACAGGGAAAAAATAAAATACGGTGGGAAGCAAGATTGCTGTACTTTACAGTACAAAAATTCTAGAGAAGGCAGTTCTTTAGCACAAGCTATATTTTTTTGGTGTGGCTACAAGAAATTTCTCTTTGGCCCACTGGAGGATTCCTGAAGACTAGAAAGCCTCCCCTCTTCTTTTCTAGTGTAGGTCTAGGGTGGACAGACACAGTTTTGACACTGCTTGGATAGTTCCTTGGGGCTGCTGTAACTTCCATGGGGGTCTGATCAGTCTAGTTTCAAAGCAGCTTTTGAATTGCAAGAGATGTATGCAAAAGTTAGACCCAAATCTGCTTCTTTATTCTCAGCTAAATTTTAAACTGGAATTAGGAGATACATGATAAGCCCATGAAGGGCCAACTTCAAAAATATTATGACTGAGAAATAATCTTTACTTCATTGTACAAAATACCAAAAAACGTAAGACACACATTTTCATGAGGAAAAAAAAGAATACAGAAGACTTCCCACTAAAAATGAAAAAATGTCTCTCATTGTGGGAGTAGAAAGACTACAGAAACAGTTCTTGTGTTTGGTAGTTTGCCAATGAATCAGAAAGGGCTGGTAAAAATGCATTCATTGTGCAGAGCCCCCTCACTCTTGAAAAAACTCCTTTATTCACAGAGACAAGATTCTGCTCTCATATATAGCATGACAACTCCTCTTAAGTCAATGGGAGTTGACTTGCATTACACAGAGGAGACTTTTGCCCAGATATTCAGCATTTGTTTACAGTAGGAAAAAGAGCTTCTAACTATTATTGAAAGTTATTCCACTGCTTCGTTTTAATACAGAGGGCTTGAAGTGAGGAAAGCTCAATTTGTAGGAATTTTACTTAAAATTCTTCAGGTTTTTATCCATTTTATAACACATGCTTAAGTTAAGCATGTTAAGTTTCAGATTTTTTTTCATGGACAAGAGCTTCTTAATCAAAGCTGGTTTGAAAAGAATTTATAAAATAAGGTATCAGTCTTAATTGCTGAAGCATTTATCTCTCATTTTGAGCTAATAGTTTGTAAACAGCAATTGAGTGAAGGACCATAGGTGCTCTTATTGAGAAGGTCTGTCTACAAGAGACCACTGAAATACAAGGACTGAGGCAGAAAAAGGAGTTGAGCAAGACAACTGGTATTAGCTGATGGATAACTCTGGGATGGGAGCAGAAAGGGCAGGGGGAAATGGGAAGCCATTAGGAAAAGGGGCTAAAGAAGGAAGCTGAAGAACAGGAAAGGCAGGGTGAGGAGTCTGAGGCTGAAAATGAAGTTCAATGATGAAACTCACGTTAATTGTGAAGTGCTTCTGAAAGAGATGGTCCCTCATCTCCCTAGTCCACTGTCCCTTCTAACCCTGGCTGGGATTTTTAGCATTGCTGTTCGTTTTACCCCATGGTGACCTGATTCAGAGAGCTGAATTGAAAGAAAATCAATCATGCAAGTTTAGTTCCCTGACTCGGCTCACAAGGGAGATGAGGGCAGACAGTAGGAGGAATGGGACTACCCCTTTCAGTAGCAGCCCACAATTAGGTTGGCAGAACCACATCCTGAGTTCAGCAGGGCACTTGGGCAGCAAGCCATGGAGCAAGCCAGTACTGGCTAGGCCAGGAGACTGAGGCTGAAATTAAGAGTCTGTGAAGACAGAAAACTTGCAAAATTGATGTTGGAGGTAATGAAACAAGTGACAGTGGAGGTAATGGACAAGTGAGGTAGGGTTTGGAAGGAAGAAGAGGGTAGAAAGCAACTGCAGGAGTCTGGCCTTGCTCGAGCACCATGGCATGCCCCCGAAACTACATTAGAAAATGCTAAATTTCACTATTCCTTTACCGCCAAATTTTGTGGTGCCAGTTATGAGTCAATGTGCATGCATATGTCATTCATTGCCTTCTGTTATCATAGAAGATGAGAACTTGTTACTCTTATCAGTAATCAATGCATGCAACAGGCAAAAGTCTTGCAGTAATCAAATCTTATTGATAAAAGCAGTGGTATCATACCAACATTATGGTCTCATGATAGTACTAACATGCCTCTAGGTTGTTAAAAAATGGAAGAAGAAAAAGATAATTAAGCAAAAAGAACAATAACAAAGAAAAAAAAGACAAAGCAACTTTGAACACCTCTAAATGAGAAAAATCACAGAATTACAATTCATATAGGTTGGTTAATAAATAACTAAAGACAAGCAAGAAGGAGCCAAAATTTCCCCCTAAAAGTGATACCTACAAAACCACAAAGCTTCGGAAGACAAATTTTCATTTAAATTTTCCTGTTCTTTATCTGGTATGTCCGTTTAGATATCTATCACATGGAAGCGGTATTTTTTTTTTTTTTTCATTTGGTTTTTCTTTTGCATTTACATTTCCCTACTGATGTAAATTTAGTCTATACAATGCT